GACCTAAATATAAACTCTAAAACGATAAAGATCATGGAAGAAAAAATAGGAACAACGCTAGGAGCCCTAATACATGGCATAAACAGAATACAAACCATAAGTAACAATGCACAAGCACCAGAAGAGAAACTGGATAACTGGGAGCTCCTAAAAAATCAAACACTTGTGCTCATCAAAAGACTTCACCAAAAGAGTAAAAAGATAATCTATAGACTGGGAAAAATCTTTTGGCTACAACAAATCCAATCAATGTCTAATCTTTAAAATCTACAAGATACTGCAAAACTTCAACAATGAAAAGACAAATAACCCAATTAAAAAAATGGGCAAAGGATATGAGCAGGCACTTCACCAAAGAAGACATTCAAGCAGGTAACAGATACATGGGGAAATGCTCACAGTCATTAGGCTTTAGAGAAATGCAAATCAAAACTACAATGAGATATCATCTCACCCCAACAAGGCTTCCATTAATCCAAAAAACATAATAAATGTTGGAGAAGTTGTGGAGAGACCGGAACACTTATACACTGTTGGTGAGGATGTAAATGGTACAACCACTTTGGAAATCGATTTGGCGCTTCCTTAAAAAGCTAGAAATAGAAGTACCATATGATCCGGCAATCCCACTCCTTGGAATATATCCTAGAGAAATGAGTCATCGCACAAATAGATATATGCACACCCATGTTCATTGCAGCACTGTTCACAATAGCAAAAAGATGGAAACAACCTAGATGCCCATCAGCAGATGAATGGATAAACAAATGATGGTATATTCACACAATGGAATACTATGCATCGAGAAAGAACACGATGAATCCAAGAAACATCTCATAACATGGATGAATCTAGAAGGTGTTACGCTGAGTGAATTTAGTCAGTTGCAAAAGGACAAAAATTGTATGAAACTACTATTGTAAGAAGTCAAGAAAAGGTTTAAACACAGAGGAAAACATTCTTTGATGGTTATGAGGATGGGGAGGGAGGGAGAGGGGTATTCACTAACTAGACAGTAGACAAGAATTAGGTGAAGGGAAGGACAACACACACTACAGGGGAAGTCAGCCCAGCTGGACTAAACCAAAAGCTGAGAAGTTTCCTGAATACAACCAAACACTTCGAGGGACAGAGTAGCAGGGGCAGGGGTCTGGGGACCATGATTTCAGAGGACATCTAAATCAATGGGCATAACAAAGTTTATTAAGAAAATGTTCTGCACCCCGTAAAGCATGGCCCCTGGATTGTCTACCAGCCCAGAACTAAAACAGTTTCTGAGGCCAACTCTTCAGACAGGGATTAGACTGGACTGTGGGACTTAAAGTGATACTCGTGAGGAGTGTGCCTCTTAGCTCAAGTAGATACAAGAGACTGAACGGGCAGCTTCTGTTTGGAGTTGAGATGGAAAGGCAGAGAGGGTTAGGAGCTGGCTGAATGGACATGGGGAATTGGGTGGAAAGGAGAAGTGTGCTGTCACAGTATGGGGAGAGCAATTAGGGTCACATAACAATGTATGTATAAATTTTTGTATGGGAGACTAACTTGAGATGTAAACTTCATTTAAACTACAACAATAAAAAAATAAAAAGAACATGTTCTGCATCTCACTTTGGTGAGTGGTGGCTGTGGTCTTAAAAGCTAGCGAGCAGCCATCTAAGATGCACCCAAACCCACCTAGAGCAAAGGAGAATGAAGAACACCAAAGACACAAGAAAAATATTAGCCCAAGAAACAGAAAGGGCCACATAAACCAGAGATTCCATCAGCCTGAGACTAGAGGAACTAGATGGTGCCTGGCTACCACCAGTGATGACCCTGAGAGGCAGCACAACAGAGAGTCCCTGAGGGAGCAGAAGAAAAATGGGGTGCAGAACACAAATTCTAACAAAAAGACCAGACTTAATGGTCTGACTGCGACTGGAGGGACCCTGGAAGACATGGCCCCTGGACTCTCTGTTAGCCCAAAGTTAAAACCATTCCTGGAGCCAACTCTTCAGACAAAGATTAGACTGGACTATAAGACATAAAATGATACGCGTGAAGAGTGTGCTTCTTAGCTCAAGTAGATACATGAGTCTAAATGGGCAGCTCCTCTCCGGAGGTGAGATGAGAAGACAGAAAGGGACAGGAGCTGGCTGAATGGACACGAGAAATCTGGGGTGGAAAGGAGGAGTGTATTGTCACATTATAGGGAGAGCAACTAGGGTCACATAACAATGTATGTATAGATTTTTGTATGAGAACTAACTTGAACTGTAAACGTTCACTCAAAGCACAATAAAAAAATGTTATATAAGTGGAATTTTACCACATGTAACCTTTGAGATTGGCTTTTTTCACTCAGTATAATTCTTTTCAGATCCATCCAAGTTGTTGAGTATATTAATGGTTTATTCTCTTTATTGCTAACTAGTATTCCACGGTATGGATATACCACAGTTTGTTTAACCATTCACCCACTGAAGGACATTTGAGTTATTTCCAATTTTTGGCTATTATGAATAAAGCTGCCATGAACATCCATATATATGTTTTTGTGTGAGCATAAGTTTTCACTTCTCTGCGATAAACGCGCCAAAGTGCAATTGCTGGGTTTTATGAAAAGTGTATGTTTAGTTTCATAAGAAACTGCCAATCTATTTTCTAAATGGCTGTACTGTTTTACATTCTAATCAGCAATGTATGAATGATAGTGTCTCTGCATTTTCGCCAACACTTGGCGTTACCATTTTTTTTTTTTGGCCATTCTGATAGGTGTGTAGTAATATCACACTGTCGTTTTAATTTGCACTTCTTAACGGCTAGTGATGTTAAACATCTTTTCATGTGCTTATTTCCCATCTGTATATCCTCTGGTGAAATGATTGTTCACGTTTTTTGCCCATTTTGTAATTGGATTGTTCGATTTTTTTATTGTTGAGTTTTGAGAGTTTTTAATATCTTCTAGTGTCTTAGTTATCTAGTGCGGCTGTAACGGAAATACCACACATGGATGGCTTCAACAAACAGAAGTGTATTCTCTTACAGTCTAGTTGACTAGAAGTCCAAATTCAGGGCGTCAGCTCCAGCGGAAGGCTTTCTCTCTCTGTCGGCTCTGGAGGAAGGTCCTTGTCATCAATCTTCCCTTGGTCTAGGAGCTTCTCAGTGCAGGGACTCTGGGTCCAAAGGACGCATGCTCCTAGCTCTACTTTCTTGGTCGTATGGGATCCCCTTGTCTTTCTGCTCGCTTCTCTCTTTTATATCTCAAAAGAGATTAATTTAAGACACAAGGAAATCCTGTAGATTGAGTCCTGCCTCATTAACATAACTGCCTCTAATCCTGCCTCATTAACATCATAGAGGATTTACAAAACATAGGAAAAAATCACATCAGATGACAAAATGGAGGACAACCACACAATACTGGGTGGGAATCATGGCCTAGCCAAGTTGACATGTATTTTGGGCGGACACAATTCAATCCATGACATCTAGATACAAGTCCTTTGTCAGATACATCACGTGTCCTTTAGATATGATCCCAGTAGTCTTCAATGGTTTCCTTGCTTTCTGGTATGACAAGTGCTCAAGGTTCATCTTATTGAATAGAATTTTAAGCTTTCAGACATATGTAGAAATGATGTAGAATTATATGATCCTTTCTCTTTCTGAGAGTTTGGTTATTGAAGAGTACAGGGCAGAGACCTTGTAAAGGAAATTCTGGTAAGACCTGGTAAATTCCAAGACTCTCTGTAATGCCTTAATCATCCTGAACACATCCTTTGTATTCATTTATTCATTAAAGTGTACTATATGCTATTATCCAAGCTAGGTGCTGGGAATAAACGAGGAGTTTCAATTCAATGTGACATGTGTTTATGATGAGGATAAGTGTAGGAGACTTTGTGGGCATTAAGAAGGGCCCTAAACCTGCAAGGGTCAGGGAAGGAAGCTTTCCAGAGGATATGATACCCTGGCCCAGATGGCAGCTAAGGTAGGGGAAGTGGATCCGGACTCAAGCTGAGGTGGCAGCATGTTTAAAGACCTCAAAGGAAAAGAAAGTGTGGTGCATTTTTGGGTTGGCCAGGCCATCTGAGGGGGCCTATATTGCTCTAATGTTTCAAATGAAAAACATAGTTGCAAAAGACTGAAAAAAATGTAGGCTGATACCCGAATGTTGCTTAGTATTGTCTTGGGTAGAGAATAAAGCAGTGAATAGAATTATGACTTGGCTGCTGTCTCCTAGGTTCTTGAAACTCCATCTTGTTCCTTTTGTAATGAATTAGAGACCTAGTACAGAGAAGGGAGAAATCTCTGATTTGGTCAGGGCTCTAAAGCACCATCCATGAGAGGAGACAAGAGTGCCGTGGCCTGGTCTACTAGGTTGGCCCACCTTGACATTCCCAGCTCTCCACATGGTCATGTTCCTGTATTCCAGGTAGGAGGTGATACACCCGACCTCCCAGCAGCAGAGTGTTCTCCGAGTAGTCCCACCAACAGTGGCAATAGATTATACTATCTACGTCGGGGTTTAGGGTGTCTCCTGTCTGTGAGGCGACACATCACATTCTCCTAGGGGTGGTGGGTGAGATTTCTGTTTATCCAGAAAGGATGAGTTTTTTTAAAAAAAGTTTAAAAACGTTGACTGATATCCCCCCTCCTCAGGTGTCCTGGTGACCACCAACTAGATTTTTTTTTTTTTAATATGATAGTCTTTATTTATTATTGTTTATAGAACAATTCAGTTGTATATTTTTCAGTGCAATGGGAGAACCCTCTACTGATTCTTTTTTTGGTGGTAGATATATATATAACAAAATCGTTTGCCTTTTCAACATTCTTCATGTGTACAATTCAGTGATATTAGTTATGTTTATTATGTTGTTCCACCTTACCATTATCCATTCCCAATTTTTCCCATCACCCTGAACAGCTCAGTGTCCCCTAAGTAATAAGTCCCTCTTTTCCCCTCCTTGGCACCCACCCCTGGTAACCACTAGTAAACTTTGGTTTCTATACACTTGCCTATCCTAGGTATTTCACATAAGTGGAATCATATAATATTTATCTCTTTGTGATTGATTTATTTCATTCAGCATAATGGTTTCAAGCCAGCCTAGCTTTCTGAAAGGCAAAGCCTTCTGGGTATATTTGGCCATAAAAGTGAGATTTTGGCAACATTACCATCATGTTGCAATCACTAGCGGGAACTAGTCACCACAACCTCCCCGGAGCCCTCCTCAGCCCTTTCCCATGCAAGACACAAGGGGCCGGCTGAGGTGGAGTCACAGCCTCCATGTCCCCAAAGCCAAAGGATCGGAGGCCCAGGTTCACTGTTTATTTCTTGGTGCTTCCAAAGCTCATGTGAGTGACACCGTACAGTGAATGACACACAGCAGGGCTTGGTAAAAGGAGACACTTCTCAATATGCTAGAACAGCCTCACCTTGGCTTTGCTAGGACAAGCTATGAAGGGTTGGAGGCCAAGAGAGAGCTGAGTGAGGCCAGGTCCCTGCAGAGGCGTGGAAGAGAAGGCTCGGAACGTGTGACAGGCAATGAAGGGTGGACTTCAGATCCAGATGTCAGAGCTGCAGTCTCCCCCAGGGTAGCGGAGCTCGTGGGCCAGGGCTGGGCCATGAGGCTCCTTCCCAAAGTCTACCAGGAAGTTGGGGTTCAATTTCAGGCCTCCCTTTACTGTGTCTACATCAATTTGCAGCATCACGGAGCCGCCCCTGGTGGAAGAGGAGGAAGGGGTAAGAGAGAAGTCAGAGTGGACGCCCTCTTCCCTCAAGAAAGAGTGCAACGGGGGGCTTCTGAGGAGGGAGCAGAATCTGAGGGGTTCTCTCTATGGGGCGGTGCTGGTGGGGCTGCCAAGGAGCCTTCGCAAAGCCAAGTGACACCTCTGGGAGAGGAGAGCTGGGGAGGGGAGCCCAGATTGCCTGCTTCTCACCTGATCATATCAGGGTAAAACTGCTTGTCCCAGGCACTGTACAGCGACGTGGTGACGTAGAGGCGCTTCCCGTCTAGGCTAAGCTGGATCATCTGAGGACCTCCAGCCACGTGCTTCCCCTTGGGAGAACCAGGGGCAGACCCCAGGGTAACACAGGGGTCCCTAGGAGGGATCACGGGCACCACCCCGACCCAAGAGCGTGCTCAGACACTGCCCAACCCCCTCCCCCACATGTCCCTCAAGCAAGGATCCAAGGTTGGCAATGAGTAGGAGGGGGCCTCACCTTGACCACCAGGGGCTCTGGCTGGGATTCCAGCTCCTGGTCCTCCAGCACTTGCACAGGGCCTCCCTTAACAATACTGCCCCCCAAGAACACCTGGGTGAGAGGTGGAGGGGGGACAGGAGGATGGTGGTGGGAGGTGTTGACATTGCAGGAAAAGCAGCTTGCCTCATCCGGATGCCCTCACTCCTTTCAGACACATTCCCATGGCTAGCCATGGCCCGCACCCTTTTCCCGCACCTCCCTTATTATCCCCCAGCCACTTCGTCCTCTCTACCCCATCCCCAGTCTCTTGACTTCCTTCCTCCCCCTTTCTGCCCGCCCTGCTAGGGCCCCACCTGTCCGGTTAAGCGGGGCCTCTTCGGGTCAGAGATGTCATACTGCCGCAGATCCCCTTGAGCCCAGTTGCTGAAGTACAGGAAGCGGTCGTCCAGGGACACCAGGATGTCAGTGATCAGGCCTGGGGGTGGGGGTGTTCAGAGGCTTCAAGGACTCTTGTTCCCCAGGTCAAGAATTAACCTTTTAATTCCCACCCTCCCCTGGGCACTCACCGGGCATCTCGGGCAGCATCCAGCCCTTCACTTTCTTGGGGGCCACTTGGATCACCTTCTCTACCGACCAAGTACCTGCCTGCATTGAGAGGTGAAGGGTGGGGTTAGGAGGCAGAGAGGTGAGCTTGCCAAGTTGGATTATGAGGGGTCAGATCTGGATCTCCCCAAAACCTGGGAAGGGAGACAGCAGATACAGGGTCTTCTGGCCACTAGGGTGTAACTCCTGGGCAAGCCCCTTCAGACCGGGGCTGTGTCTTCACAGTACCTTGCACAGTGTCCAGTGCTTAGCGGAAGCTCACTCAATGTTTTTTTAATGACTGTGCAGTTAGGGTTCAGGTGGAAATTGGCCTGGGACTGGGAGAAGAGGGCCAGGACCTGTGGCCTTGCTTTTTGTCCTGGAGAAGCCTGGGCCAGTGGAGCCAGGGAGAGGGCCCCTACTAGGGAGAGGGGAGGCAACAACTGTATGTTTACGGAAGCCTGGGCAGAGGTGCAGAGGGGACTGCTGGAAGAGGCCCAGAGGGCGCAGGTCACCTCATTCTTGTAGAAGCGATGGATGTTGGAGCTGAGGGCGCAACCCACGAAGCCCTGGGCAGCGTCTGGGTTGTGCAGGAAGCGGATCTCCAGCGGGATGAGCCCATCCTGCAGCGTCAGGGTCTGCACAATCTCATGGCGCTGCCAGTCCCACACGTGTAAGTGCGTCCCGTACAGCCCTGAGGAGGCGTGTGGGTGGAAGAGGGGCTCAGGATCCGGGAGGGTGATGGCATGGGCAAAGGCAGGGGCGCGTACCAGAGCAGAAGGTGGAAAATAGGTTGGAGGGATCAGAGAGATGCTGGAGCAGGCCAGAGCACTTCGCACGTCCTCTACCTTCACCCCAAGAGTTTGAGGTCCGCATGAGAGAAGTCAGCAGGCTGGAGGTGGGGGCCCAAGGCTCCTGCTGGCCCGTGGGGGATTCTTACCAGCCTCCACATCAGCGGGGTTGAAGCCGTCCCGCAGGACATTGGGTGCTGCCCATTCGGTGCTGATCATGACATTGTGTCGAGGCTGGTACCAGAAGTCATAGCCCATCGGCGCAGCAGCCCCAGGCTTCTCCCAATTCCCCTTCACCTCAAATGTCTCTCCATCCAGCAGCACGAAACCCCCTGAGCAAGGCAGGAGGTAAGATGGCAGGGGGGAAGAATGGAGGCACTACTCCCACCCCCCCTCACCCCTGGGCATATCCATGAGGACACCTGAAATTCAGGTGTCCAAATGGGTGCCCACCCAGAGGTGCCCACCCAGAGGTGGCTGGGTGGGAGGTGGGGGCTCTTACTCTGGTGTTCCTACCTCCCATCAACTTCACCCCTCTCTCAGATCACAGGAGAAATGTTTATTTCCCTGTGCCAGCAGATCTGCTGGGACCCAACACCCTGCCGTTCTCTTGCCCAGTCTCCCACTGTCAGCGTGGATTCCTCCCAGTCTAAGCTCCATTCTGCTCATCACATTTTTTAAACAGTGCGGACACATTATATTTATTTGTAATTCAACATCAGTGCCCAAAATATTGTCCCTTACTGGGTATGTTGTGGCACTTTGACATCTCTTTGCAAATACAACTCAGTGCTGATTCTCAAGTGTTATTAAATCTAGGAATGCCCAGCTTCTCCCACCACCTGGACAAAGCAGTCAAATGCGACTAGTGTGGGTCTTTAGCTGGATGACTTTCACTGATGTCCCACCCCAAGCTCTTGGATGGAGGGTTCTGATGTAATAGATAAGACTCTGAGAGAGGTGTGTGGTAACTGGAACATAGGCTCTGGAGCCAGATTGCTGGATTTGAGTTCTAGCTCTGCCATTTATTAGCTGTGTGACCTTGGGTAAGTTCCTAAACCAATCTGCACCCCAGCTTTCTTATCTCTAAATCAGCACCTACCTCACAGGTGGTGTGAGCACACAGTAGCAACTTTGTAAGTGTCAGCTCTGATCACACCATAAATGAAATGGCAAAAGTGAAGATTGAGAATCCCAAGGAACGTGAGATGCACTCAGGGATTTGCAAAGGCTGACATTAAATGTATGTGTTTTCTGGGGCCATGTCTGTGCTCCCATCCCCCACGGCAGAATTCATCAGTCAAGGTTTACCTACACAGAAAGACTTGAAACAACTGAACTTACTTGATTACGTTTTAACTATTGTGTGGGACCCAGGCCATCGGTCGTTCCATCCCTCTCCCCACTTTGCCTCTGCTCCCCCCACAGACAAGTTTTCATGAGCACAGATGTGCCCACAGTGCCCACAGGTACCTTTGGCATTGCCCTTGGGGTCTCCCAGGGAGCTGATCATCAACTCGCCACTGGCCAGACAGTGGCTCGTGTGTAGATAGCCCAGGTCACACTTGGCATAGATGTCCTTGGGCTCGACGACCTGGAGAGGGGCAAGGAATGGGGTCAGAATCTTACAGGGCCGGAAGTCCCCACTCCCGACTGCTCCACTCCCCTACTGCTTTCTGCTGACTTCATCCTCTTTTCCTTCAAGACGCGGACACAACTCTCCCTACAGGAAGGTGGCAGAGTCAGGGAGACGCTCAGTAATTCCCAGGCAGAAACCACTGACTTCTCCCCTCTGTCCTGAGGGGACCGTAAGCTTCTCCTGGGCTGCGACAATGCCAGTTACCAGCATCAACTTGGTATCGATCACCAGTGGCCAGCACAGTGGGTGCCTGGCAGGCAGTGGGTTCCTTCTCCCTGTCCAAGAGCCCTGGTGGTGCAGTGGTTAAGCGCGTGGCTGCTAACCGGAAGATCTGCGGCTCGAAGCCACCAGCCTCCACGGGAGGAAGAGGTGGCAGTCTGCTTCCGTAATGACTTCAGCCTTGGAAACCCTATGGGGCAGTTCTACTCTGTCCTACAGGGTCACTTTGAGTTGGAATCGACTCGACCCCAAGGGTTTCTCCCGAGGCCAAGGGTTCACCCTCTTGGGGTGTAAACAAGAAGGCTCCTCTCTGCACTCCGGTGCCCCACGGTGCTGGATGGTGACAACTGCACTCCTAGGTCCCCCTCCTCTGAAGTTAACCTCCATCCCCGCGGCTGAGCCCAGAGCCTGCCTGAGAACTGGCGGCAGCTGGCTTAGGGGTGGCTTCCGGACCAGAACAGGCTGCTCCGGGTGGCAGGTCCATTAGTTTCCGGGCAGGCAAGGGCAGAGAACGTGCCTTGTGCAGCTTCGGGGCCCGGGGCTCGGAGGCCACATCGACTATGTAGATGCGGGAGGACATGAGGGCAGGCAACACCAGCTTGGTGCGCGACTTGGTGCTGTCCCCGAAGCAGCTGCTGCACGTATTCCAGCCCGAGTGATGCAGCTCGTCCTTCAGGTTGGGCATGGGCAGCCGGTGGATGACCTGGGGTGAGAGCCAGGAGGTGGTGTTCGCCCAGACTAGGCGCCACCTCCTCCCTGACCCCGACCCTCAGCGTTTGGGCAGCGCGGCACAGGGTGGGTTTCAGCCCTTCCCTCGTCCCGCGGGGGCGCCCTCGTGCAGTGAACAGCCGGCACAGCCTTACTGCGGAGGGCGAGGAAGGATGAAGCTGGGCAGGGGCAGATCAGGGCTAGAGGCCTCACCTGGCTGTACTGGGGAGACTTGGGGTCAACATCCACTGTGGCCAGATAGTCCGGAGCTTCAATGCCCGTGTTTCGGTAAATACAGGGCAGGTAGACAAGCTCCTCCCGGGGTCCTGGAGGGTACAAAGCAGGCAGCGGGGATGGCGGGGTGGGGAGGAACGGCGGGGGCAGCGCGGGGTGTGCCCGAGGGTGGAGGCGGGGGTCCGAGGCTCCGCGCCCCAAGAGCCTGCCATCAGCAGAGGGGCGCCGGCTCCCAGATGCAGGCACTCACCTTTCATGGCCTCCAGGGGGCTAGAGTAGCCGGGCCCACACTTGCTGCAGTTCGTGGCTACGGAAACAATGGGGCGTGCTGGCTGGGGGACGGGCGGGAGGGTCGAGGCCTCCTCCTCACGTCCCGCAGGACACGGCCGGTCGGGCGGACACGCGGACACACGGCTGTCCCAGGCCGGCTCTGCTCGGGGCCCATCCTTCCCGCCCCCTCAAAGCGCTGGTGAGTGTGTGGTGTGGCGGGAAAAGCTGGAGAGGTATGACCTGGGGGACAGACCCTCCGGTAGAACCCTGTCCAGGCCGGTACTCCAGGGGCTAAGGTTATGGCACCAACTCGGGTCCCCACCCCAGCCCGCCACTGACGAGCCTGGGCAAGGTACTTAACCTCCCGTCCCCATCCCCACATCATCTGTACCACAGGGGTGATGAGTTACCACGGTGGGAATGTAGGAGAAGTGAACCGGAGGGTCCGTGTCAAGCGTGTAGCTTTGTGGGCGCCTACCGTCTTGAGGCACAGCCCTCAGGGTGTGGCTGGTGTCTGCCTCCCCCCTTCACAGAGGTATCTGTACTAGGCCTCTTTCGAGGGGACAAGATGCCTCCTGAGTTTCTCCCCATCTGGCTCCTGACCTCAGGCTGCGGGCCAGAGCCTGGGTTCCATAACCGAGGGTCTGGTCATCCAGAGGGAGTGGGGGAGTCTGGGATTCAAGGCTGCAGAGGCTGACACCAGCTGGATGTCCTGAAGCCAGTGTCTGCCCCTGGCTGGGCCCCTGCTTCCTTTATCTGTAAAGTAAGGGGTTGGACCCGGCTCTGGACTGCCTAGAGGCCCCTACCAGAGCCATGGGGAGGGGTCCTCCCTGTCCCCTGGTGTCTGGCAAGAGAAGCTGCGCTGATGCTGATCTAAGTGGACCAGAGCCCCAGAGAAGGAGAGTAGTCTGCTCACAGCTGCCAGGACCTCAGTGTTAGGGTTGGGGCGGGGGGCAGACTGCTAGAAGGGCGGAGGAATTACCCAGGGGAGCTGCCGGCTCAAAGAAATCCTGGAGTGGAGTTCACAGGACTGGGCACCGCCTCCCTGCCCTGCCGGTGGGCAGTTTGCCCGTGGTGGTGACAGCTGGGGGCCTGCCAGTGGGGAGCCAGGAGTGTCCACAGTTGGAGCCCCTGCTGGTGCCTGGTCTTGGGCCTTGGCCGGGAGCCAACGCCCCTCGCTCCCTGCAGCCAAATGGCTTAGGAAGCTGAGAGGCAGCGGCAGTGCTTCAGGGTCCCACAGACTTGGGTACGAGTCCCAGGTTTGACCCCTCCTCTCTCCATTTCCTCCCCCTCATTTGCTAAAAGGGGGTGCTAATACTATCCTGCCCTACTCACTAAGGACAACAACCTACTTCTCCAGGAGGCCTGGCTGTTGTGCAGGGTTAAGGGCTTGGTAACCAGCCAAGAAGTTTGACTGTTTAGAACTCACCCAGAGGCACTTTGGAAGACAGGCCTGGCAGTCTGCTTCCAAAAGGTCACAGCCTTAAAACCCTTCTGGAGCAGTTCTGTTCTGCACACCCAGGGTCTCCATGAGTCCGAGCAACTACCAACAACCTACTTCTCCAGGTGGATTCAAAGTCGCCTGAGAATGTGTTTTCAAAATACGTTCATATGGGAAAAGTGTTGTGTAAATGTGGGTGGGGCTGTGCAGAAAGCGAGGGAAGGATGCCAGGCGGCGTTCGGTGCCCACGGAGGGGGCTGGGGCTGGGGTGGGACGGGGTGACAGAGGGGTCAGGTCTAAAAGCAGAGAGGGAGATGCCTTCTGCTTCTCAGCCAAACTGAGCCAGGATTTGCACAGGTGGTGATGGGGAGGGGGCTTCCAGACACAGAAGGGGAAGAAGATTAAAAACTCCAAGACGTCATAAAAACAAAAAGGGAAAGCCGAAGACTGAGGTGTGAGGGCGGTGTTGTCCCTGGGAGTCCCCCTTGCATCCCTGTCCTCCCACTTCCTCCTAGCATCCGTCTCCTTTCCGTTGGTAGCACCTCCAAAGTCTCTGAGCAGGCTCTGGTTTGAGGTGAACCCAGGGAAAGAAAGCTGGGCTCTCCCAATGCCAGGCTGGCTGCTGGGCATTCTGCCAGCCCCGGGAAGGGCTAGCTTCAAGGGGGCAAAGACTTCAGTCCTCCCAGCTAAACCCGAACTCCCCCTCAGCCTGACATCCAGGAGCCCCCGATGAGAGAATAGGACGGCTGGGGTTGTGAGGGTGGGGAGACTGAAACAGGCCCCCAGGGCGAGGGTGTGTGACCCCTGATTTCTCTCCCAGAGTGACTCGGAATAAGGAGTTAGCCCAGAGCTGAAATCAGAGTTATCTGTGTCCTGGGGGGAGAGCCAGGGACAGAGAGGTTTCCCCCAAATGCTCCCCTCCTAATTTTCTCATCTGCAGAAAGGCATCCTGAGCCCCGGGGCCCCAGCTGAGCGGATCTGGGTGGGATCACATTGTGGTCCTTCCCAGGAAGCCCTCTGTCCTTCCCGTCCCAGGTACCTCCAGAAACTTTGGCTGAGCTGGGAAGTGCGGGGTTGGGGGGACAGGGGAACAGAGTCCAGAGTCCCCTCCCTCTACCCCCACCTGAAGTTGTCAGGTCATTTCCTGGAGGGAGGACCCTCCAAACCAGGGGTGGTTTGGGGGCTAGTGGGCGGGTCAGTGGGCAGCTGGCAGAAGCCCCTCCTTACCCATGCTGCTCCTATGTCTAGGTCCTGGCGGGTCTGCCTGCCTGCTGGGAGCGGGCAGAGGTGGACAACTGTGTCAGTGGCGTGCTGTGCCTGGGAAGGGGCCAAGGGAGGGTATTTATATAACCAGCTGGGGGCGGGGCAGGGGGAGGGCCCTGGCTTCGCCCCGGGGTGAATGACAAAGGGCAGCTGGATAAGACACTCTCCAGTGGCCTGGGCGGCTGGTGTTTGCGATACCGGAATGTGTGTGTGTGTGTGTGTGTGTGCGCGCGCGCGCGCGCGCGTGCGTGCTGATACACGAGCTAGCATGTGTGTGCAGGAGCTTCTGCATGCGCAGGCGGGTGCCGTGTCTGCGTGTGTCTCTTACCGGATGCCTGAGTCCGTGTGGGTTTGTGTGTGTCCGTGCCTGTGTGTGCTCCTGTGTACAAGTGTGAGCTTGTGTCTGTGGGAACATGTATGCGCAGTGGGCATGTGCACGTGTGCCTGGGTGTGGTGTGTGCCTGTGTGTGTGTGTGTGTGTGTGTGCCTGGGCCTCACAGCGCTCACCTGTGTACCTGTCTGTCAGTGTTCGGAGGCACCCAGGCTGTGAGCAGGGCTGCTCCTACCCCCACAGCCAGGGTCAGTGGCCCCCTAAGATTGTGATCCATCCTCCGAAAGGCACAGTCCTACCCAAAAACTCATGTGCCAGCCTGGCACGGCTGCCCCGGCAGGAGGCACAGTGGGTGAGGGGTCCAGATTCCACTTATCCCAAGCCCATTCCCCTTGAGCTTTGAAGTGGAAGGAAGTCCCACACTGCTCATTGTCACCCTCTAGTATGCTCAGTAATCTCACGACGTGGAAGGAGAGTGCCCTTTCCTCCTCTCCCACCCTGGAGCCTCCATAGTTCCTAAGGGCAGGGTTGCAGAGCCCAAGGGCAGCCTAGCATGGCACCACTGTCCCTAGAAGATCTATGACAAATTAGAAAACCGTCAGGGTCTCCATGTATCCCTGGACCACTCCAGGAGGGAGAATTTGATAACTTCCCAGGGCTGCTGAGCCTGCTAATATAGTAACTCTTCCTGACCCAGGGACACCTTATGGCCCTCAGGCAAACGACAACTGCTTGCAGGGGAAAAACCCAAAGCAGGATTGAGGCTTGATCCATTAACCCCCTTTATCCTGAGAAGCCAGGGCTTGAAGGGATACACAAGAGAGGTCAAGGGAACCCACCCAAACTGGTCTCCATCTTGAAACCAAGGGCCTCTTCCTCCCTCGAAATTGGCTGCTAGCCGGGGTAACCCGTCCCTCCCTTTTCTAGGAACTTAATGACTCTGTGTCTCCAAAGCCACATTAATCCCCTTGGATGAAAGTTCTGCAGTGAAGTTTTATTGGACAGTGAACAGGGCTAAGTTTGGGGCCTGAGATTGTCAAGCAGAAAGAGTCACAAGGTTTTCAAACCAGGGTGGAGGGAAGGGAAGTGAAACCAGGCCTTGGTGCGATGGGTGTCCGTCTGCCTGTTTCCCAGGGGTGAGGGATCATGTGCCCATCCAGGAAGACCCTCTATGGTTTGCAGTGGTCCTTCCTCATCCTCAGCTTCACTCAACCTCTCCTGCTTCTTTCTTATGTCTCCCTCCTCATCGTTGTCCCACCAGTCAGGCAGGTCTCCAGTCACCCCTTGTGTGCAGCTGCTCCACGGGGGGAGGCGCCCTCCACTCACCTGCCTTCATCCTGTCCCTTGGTCCTCCCCATCCTCCCCAGCAATCCGTCTTCTACCTCGTCTCTACACCAGTTGCCACAGAGTTCGATTCCGATTCATGGCGACCCCACGTGTGTCAGAAAAGAACTGTGCTCCATAGGGTTTTCAAGGGATGATTTTTGGAAGTAGATCACCCGGCCTTTCTTCCAAAACACCTCTGGGTGGACTCGAACCTCCAACCTTAACCGTTTTTGTCACCCAAGGACTCTACCTCCTCTCTACTCCCCGGCTTTTTATATTTATGTCTTCTTCCTGAGACCACAAAGCAGGAGTGACTTGAGGTAGCCCAACATCCAAGATCTGAAAGGGAAAGAAACCCCATCCCCATCCTCTTATCTAGAGTTCTTGAGTCATTAACTCCCCAAGAGCTGTTATCTTGCTGGTTATTGAGTCTGTCATGTGACTACAAGTTCTTTGATGCCCCTGTGCTCTGCCTGGCCGGCTCTGTGTCTCCTCTGTGTCACCATACTCTTGCCAGCTGCTTTCTCCAGGGCAGGCAAGGTGGTTGGGGAAAGTTGTCCCTACCCGGGCGGCCCCACCCTGGAAGCAGTCCAAGGAGAGGGTCAGGCTGGTCACCGTGGGGTCTTTGCTCTTTTGGCAGGGGCAGGGCTTTGTCTTTCAGGGGTGTGGAGAACTCCATCCCAGTCAGCATAGCTGTCTCATGAGCACCCCTAATTTTGCTTCTCAGGAGCTTAAGGGCTGACTCCATATATGATGTGTCCTGCCTTAGCCCTAGGCACAACCAGAGCTGGACGACTCCCGGATTCACAGGAAGGAATACGGGCCTCCCTGCAGCCCAGGAGAACCCCAGCACCCTGCCCACATCACGGGGACCATTGCCGTCGAGTCAGTTAGGACTCCTAGCGACCCTATAAGACAGAGTAGAACCGCCCCACAGGGTATCCAAGGCGCAGCTGGTGGTTTGAACTGCCGAGCTCTTAACCACCATGCACCAGGGCTCTCTGGGAAGAGGGTGGGAATTCAGCTCCGGATCTGCTAACTCCGGAGGACTGCACATACCATGATGCTGAGCACCGATTCCTTCCAGGCCAGCACGGGTGCTTTTTTGTGATAAGTGAGAAGGACGGGTCCGTTGGAAGGCCTGGTTGGGTGGGGCCGACCTTTGTTTCTGTTGTTTTAAGCCCCAGAAAAGTAGTGTTATTGGAGCTGGCAGCTCGACAGCCAGGCAATTATATAACTGCTGCCCCTAAACTTTGCCTCTGACCTCCTCTTTTATGGGCTTGGAAACAAACAGGAAGCATCTTTGGGGTGAGGGGGTGGCCCGTGAAATCCCCTGTGCTGGGAGGGCAGGGGCTCCTGGTTCCCGCCCCCCGGCCCCCCACCCCAGCCAGACTTCTGTGGTCCTCCTTAAACAGGTTAGAACCCTGGTGGCGCAGTGGTTAAGAGCTCCGCTGCTAACCAAAAGGCAGGCGACTCAAATCCACTATCCGCTCCCTGGAAACCCTAGGGGGCAGTTCTACTCGGTCCTATAATTAGTCAGAATCCAGATGGCAACGGGTTTTTTTTTTTCCCCACATCACTGATGGACAAACTGGGAAAGCAAGGAAAGCAAGGTTAAACCTAGGAAAGAGAAGGATTGGGAGATAACGCTGTTGGAGTCTCTAGAAATAATTTAATGGGAAAAAAAATAGAGACTTGGTGTTCTTCATCTCTAACAAAAGCAGTCAAATGGAAGAGATGGAATTCTGGCAGGAGGGAGAACTAACGTGTGGGAGCACCTCGGATGCACCAGCCCCTACTGGCCTCATCCCAACCCAACCGCGTAGGTAATACCATCCCTGTCTTACCCACGGGGCAGCTAAGGCTCCAAGAGGGCCCAGGCCACTGGTAGGTGGCACAGCAGAGTTCCCATCCCTCAGTCTGACTGCAGAGCTCACAGTTGTCCAGTCACTCCATGCTGGTTCTGTGTTCTACTTTGTTTTGGTTGATTGGGGGTGGGGGCTGGGACGCAGAAGAATGTGAAGCCTGTGGTGTCTTTTTCCTTGGACATCTCAGGACAGAGAGACCTTTTTTTGGAGTGGGGAGAGGAACAAAGGAACAGATGTCTCTTGAGCAGTGAGGTCTCATGTGGGAGGTGGGAGGAATGGTGGAGACTGGTGTGCCATAGAAAAAAGACTGGAAAGATGTCCGCCCGAGGGTAGCCGTGGTTACCTCTGAGGACAGGGAGTGCAAGGAAGGGCGTGATTTTCTGTTTTTACTTTAAGACATCTGTATTTTATGGTACATTGAAACCGTGAATCAAGGTATTAAAAGAAAAAATCTAAAGAGAAAGACAGGAAAGGACAGAAGATTGAACGCAGTGCAGGGAGGGTCACGGTGGGAGCCCGCGCCGGTCCCTTTGCCCTGCAGCCCTCCCACCCCTCTGCCCACCTCTCCCCTAGAAGATGTGATCACTCACTCATCCATCCATTCGTGCTGTCCACAGACATTTCTGGAGCTCCTGGCTTGAGCCAGACTTGGTGGACTATGTGGTGAACAAGGCAGAGTTTCGGCCTTCACAGAGCAGACGTTCTCGAGGAAACCGTCAATAAACAAGGAAACACACGAATGAGATCCTTCCAGGTAAGTGCTAGGAAGGAAGTAGGGTATGTGTGGGCGCCGGAAAGTGCAACATTAGGTAGGAGCATCTGATATACACAGATTTGCTATGCAAATGGACAGCATAAACACATGTAAAACCAAAACCCCATCCCTATAGGACAGAGTCGAACTGCCCCACAGAGTTTCCAAGGAGTGCCTGGTGGATCTGAACTGCCGGCCTGTTGGTTAGCAGCCGAGAGCTCAACCACTGCACCACCAGGGCTCCTACACGCATACACAGACAAAATATAAAACAAATGTGTAAAAATGCTGGTAGCCCATGAAGGCCCCAGGCTGTGGAGACCAGAGGCGGGTCTGGCTTTTAACAGACCTCAACTCCCCGCTCTCAGGGGAAGGGAGGAGTGTTTACTGAGAACCTGTTACCTGGTGCGGCTGGCGCTGGAACACCCCTCCACTAGCTTAGTTAGGGCGCACGGCAAACGGGGAGAGGTGGTGGTTTTCCTTTCGTCTTACCTGGAGGAGACAGCGTTTTGCCAGCTCGCCCAGCTGCCCACACTGAGCTACAGAGGCAGGCGGGGTCCAGGCCTGCTGCGGGGGCAACACGAAGCTCTCGGAAACAAATCAGAAATCATGCTCACTGTCAGGGCTGCCTACAAACAGCAGGGTTTGAAAGGCACGGGAGGGTTTCCTCCCACCTCCAGCCGGCTCAGAAATATTCTCCCCTCCGGCCTGCCCTCGGGGCTTAAAACTTCACCATGAGCAGCTTATTCTTAGTGACCTCGTCTCAC